ATGGAAGTCTCAAACATATAATATTATACGCAAATATGATTTATATATAAATTTATATTCAAACAAGCTATATACAGTAGTAATATTTAAATCTCATTAAATATAATAATTTCGTGAAATTCATTTTGAAAATACATTGTAATATGATTTGTATGTACTGTATAATCATCGCTAAAATGATTACTTAAATCGTCGCCAAATTATTGTTTCAATGTTAGCCCAGGGTAACTCAAACATCATATACGCCACACCACTGACCATAAACGTACTGATTGTGTATATTATATACAAACAAAACTGAAAATGCACATAAGAAACAAAAATATAAACATGATACTTATTTGGATACTACACATATATATTGACAATTGTAAGTAAAATAATTTGATCATAATTCAATACTTACAAAATTAATGTGCGAGAAATATATGGTTTGTTTGCTTGAGTATATGTTGTAATAAATAAATATTAAGTGGTACAGGTATGCCTGATATGATAATCTACTGAATGGCACCCATACTTTCCACGATAGTATGGTATTTATTTGAGATGCCTGCCCGGTGGCACATGAATGCAGTATATATGCCCAACATATGGACCAGACTGTCCGATTGGTTATACCATAAATTAGGCTTATGGTGTTGGGGTAGGTTTGCGGGTACCACAGCCAGTAACAAATGGATATTAGTATAACTATGTTGATTATTAAACATACCACGCACAGTATTATGCTTGATTTCTGTATGAATAGGAATTAAAAGGTAAATTTACTATAATATAACCTATCTGGCTGATATGCTACAAAATGCTTAACTGTTTTAACGGCATAATTATGTTTATATTTAATGTAGAAATAGGCGAATAGTATGCCCACAGCATAGGGACCCACACGACAGTAGGACTTCATGTATATGTCATTAAAATAGTCGCCATCGCTGTGAATATTTTAAACTAAATGTACATTTCTGTTACAGGGCCATTCAATAAGTGCGTACGCAAAAATTTGTCTAAAAATTGACACTCCCTGCTTAATCCCCTCGTACATAGGACTTTAACATGTCTTGCCTGATCCCCCTTCCCTCACCCACAGTGCGTATGTACTTATTGAATGAGCCCTATACAATATAATCTTATGAGTTAAGATTGATTTTAGTATAACTTAGATAAGATTTTAATATTAAATTATAAACTAAATATCTACTTATATTATAGTTTATTACAATTTTGAACTATAATATTTACCCGACGTATACAATGGTAGGTGGCGTGCGTTCGGTATACATTAATACGCCGGATATTACCCAGCTCACTACAATTACCAATATATTTACGCCAATTCCCAACAACTGTTTTCTGTATTTTGGTGGCAAATATTTTTTATATTTGATAATAATTATAAAATACTGTAATAATGAAGTGAGCTAGCTACGTGAAAAATTAAATTAAGTATACTTGATATCACGGCTCGCGAGCCATATGATTAGGACCGGGGACATTACAAACAGCTGCATATCTACGTCCAAATACCACGTGTGTTCCAAGCACTAGTGCCAAGGTATATATAAATTTATATATATTTAAATGTATTATATGAGTGCACTTTATATACTTACTGGTCTTTGGTGTATATAAAACAGTTTAGTCGACCACTCGTTATGACAGACAGTGTTTTTGTACACATATTTATACCATTGAGGACCCGATGCCATGACCTCCAGTAGCACTGCGAACGCTATGCCCGCCATCAACGATGGGGTCAGTCTTACGTAACGGTGTATAACACGTTTCAGAAGTAACCGTCCGGACAGGGGTGTCGTCCGAAGTCGTGTCAATAGGCTGTAAGCGCATAGGAATCCACTTAATAGCAGGAATGAGTCGACCCATAGCATGGAGTTCCATACGATTCCGTGGATAAGGGTATTGGTCTCCAAAGCCGCCTGAATTGGGTTTGCTTTATATACAAGTAATAATTGGCATATAATTTTGTAACTAGGTCAATGTGACTATTTATAAACTAGTAACAAGTATAATTTTTACCTAACGATGAGTGAAAGTACTTGATATGAAAGGTAAACGTATGAAACAGAATAATCGACAGAATGCTAATCACACGGAATCCGTGCAAACAGTCTATAGTGGTGTCACCGGGGCTATGGGTGTCCAACAATTTTGGTAAATTGTTATACAATGAAAATGTTAGCAATACATCGGTCATGATTTGTGGCATAAATCCTGTTTAAAATATTTACACCTAGCAATACACAATTTAGTAATAAACATGATAAAAAAGTAGTTACGATTTGTGTTGAATCTATTAATGAGTGTCGAAATTATTATTAATACAATTACCATCAGAAAAACGTAGCTATAAAAAAATAATTTTTAATTAAATGGTGAGTATAATTGTATTATTACACTACTCATCAATCTTACGCTATGACAATGTGATACCACTTAATTAGACTACTAGTAATATCCGTACAATTAGCCAGGGTAACATTTGTAACATTTGAGTATTGAGACCTGGATACGTCTGTGGTATAAGCGATGGATAAATAATATGCTTAAAAATAAAATTAAAATAAAAAATTTAATTTTCAATACATATGTCGAGAATATTCTTGAGATCCGTTTTATTGCAAGCGTTGGGAACACAGACACCGACCGTAGGACTCAGTTTGATATGCTTTTGCTTTTGTATAACAAAGCATTCAATCATATGATTGACAAAAACACTTAAAAATCACATTAAAAATAAATACAGCTTTAGTTAATCGCTTGTTGTATACAATGGGCACCGTTAGATCAAGCGCGCAGTACTGTCCCATAAATGGTAGTGCGTGAGTATGATGGTGCATGGTCACATTGATACCTAGACACTCGTCGTATTTGCCCATAAACTGTGTGCCACCAGCCAGTAATCCCGTTCCCACAGTAGCCGACGCGTCCATCACTGATTATGCAAATAATTATTACATTATATTAACACTAAACTGATGGGGAGTAGGCTATAGGGTGTATGACATACAGGCCAGTGCCCAGTGCTGGTGTGGATGTCTGGACATGTAATGGAGTATTGATTTACATTTAGTGCCAATATTTGATTCATTAAAATAGCGAAACAATTGCACTGAAAACCAATGATTTGCTAAAATGGTATCTTTTCTCAGATTAAAATCATAGCAATTAATAGCGAAAATGATTACAAATATTATAACCGTATGATGCAAAATATAATTCATTATTTAATTTTCAAATAAAAAACAATTACAACACTAGTAAATTCATTTATATTTTAAAATATTTTATATACCCTAGGTTGAACATAACTTAATTTACTAAACAAAGAAACTGTACTGACTACGAATAAACTCAATTTACAGTATATATATATATATAAAACATATGTTAACTATACCCAAAAATTGTATGTATTTCGTAATAGTTAATTAAAAATTTCGTAATACACTATTTTTTTATACCAAGGCTATTGACACAAAATCATTTTATAAACAATAGCCAAAAATGTTTGACTATTTTATTATTACTTAATTATATTATATTTCATTTTTATTTACTGTATTTCTCATTGTAGTTGAGATCAATAAATATGCTTTTCAGTGTTAATTACTTATATTTGTTTATTATAAGCAAGGAATTATGTGCTTGTTTAAAATGTTTTACAAAAACATATTACGGTACAATAAATCGAAATTATTTTATAGCATTTTATACTTCAAATAAACTTTTACTAGAAATGAGTGAAACAGACACTAAAAAGGAGTTTTCAATCATTGAAATAAATATACTCTTATTAATTATGTTCAATATATCAGTGCTTATAATCATTGAATATAAAAATATTAACAAAACTAATGGCAAACCATTAAGTGATGGATATTCGTGTTTCGCCACAAATGACATGACATTTGAATACAACATAACGGGATATCCCGTCATAATTGTGCCAAACATTGTGCATTACGTGCTGCTGAGGATCCGGGAGGTGGGGTTCGACCACTTTCTGTCCATACTGTCGGTGCTCCGGAATCAACGCCCGGACATCATATACATACACACCGATAACATTAACATCACCGGTGACTACTACGACCGGGTGGTCCGCATAACCCGCAAACTCTCTGTCCAACTAATTGTACGCAAAATACACGCCCCGCACGCCGTGTTTGGACAGACACTAGACCTGGACGGGTGGGGCGTATGGCACTCGTCGGACATCGTGCGCATACACGTGCTGTCTCAGTTTGGCGGCATATACGTGGACACCGACGCCTACGTCGTCCAATCGCTGGACCGGTTCCGGTACTACGAGATGAGCCTCGACTGGGACGACATCTACGACAACATCCTAAGTAACGGCGTTATGATAGCCCATAGGAACGCCAGATTCCTGAGCCAATGGCGCCGACTGTACACCAACTATAACGGCAGCGATTGGGCGGCCAGTGGGCTCCGGCTGCCCACTGAAGTCATTTTGAATCGCACGCCGGAGCTGATACATAGGGTGAAGCTGTTGTTCGGGGTCGAGATACTGCAAGTGTGCACGCTCATTTACGCCAAGTACATTGATTATTGGAGCACGGCCTTTTATACGCTACACATGTTTCTACGTAACCGGCGGGTGTCCATACCGCACTACTGCTATATCAATGACACCCTGGACAATTTCGAGGAGTTCCCCATGCAGGAGAGTGTGATTAAGCGGCTCAATGTGACCCTGGGCGCAATGGCACGCACGGTGTTTGACTTCGAACAGACTGTTCTAGATAATTAACAATCAGGTTATCCTCACCTAACCCCTCCCCCATCGTAAACAATAGAAACATAATTACCACTCATTTGAGTATTTGGCTAAACATTTAGTCATTTATTTAAATAACTGTTTTCATAATATAATTAAAATTACAATAAAATGACAAAAAATACAATAATTTTATTACAAAAAAAATATCTATAAATGAGTCAAAAATTTATAATTCACTTCTCATTCACTATCAGACGACGAGCCATAAGCGCATAAATTGAGTAAATTATTTGCATTACTCGTACTTTTTGTCGCATTCACTGTACTTCCGGTCGACTTTGGGCCGCAATTATCATCAGTTTTGACCACTTTTTTCTTGACGACAACCAATTTATCGATCTTTCGTTTCAGCGACTCTTTGGACCCGTTTTCCATCGACTCCTTGGCCACCGAATCACTACTCAAACCATTATTACTCTTATTATGATTACTACTGAACTCCTTATCGATCGTATCGAAAGTGACGCCAAACTTAGGCAACGCCTCGTCATCGCTGCTGTCATCGCCGGACCCCTCGTCCCCTCTAATCCTCGCCAACAGCGCCCTCTCCTCCGCCTCGAACTCCTTATCCATGACCAACTCGACCAACTCCTGGGGCACGGGCACGCCCACAGCGGCCGCCCCCTCCAGCACCGCCTGTACGTCACTCTCGTGCACCAAATCCCTGTTTCGTTGGTTCAGTTCCTTCAAGTCCTCCAACGCCTCGATCGCCTCCAACTCCCGGCGCGACTGTTTCGTCCGGTTCTCCAGCAGTTTCATGGGATTTAGGCGCTCATCCTCCTCCCTGTCCTTCTCCTCCTGGACGGCCTGCTGTTCCGCCAGTTTTAAGGCCTTGAAATTAGGTGTCGCCCCGTGTTCTACCTATTCGTAGGCCAAACAGTTTTGGGTTAGTTTTCGAGTTTTGCAATAATTTTTCGATACAAATGTCTGTTATTTTATGTGAATTTAAGGATTGATTGTATGTATGGATAGAAATGACATAAAACTCTTGATGTCTACGACACCTATTGTGTCAACTGTTGTCTCATAACTAGTATGGATTTAGTTTCAATGCATAAGTAAGGCTAGGATTACCGTAACATTTAATTATTTTAAACTTTTTTCCGTAACAAACTATGATATAGTCATCGCATTTAAAGTCTAATTAAACGTCTAATTAATACAACAAAATACATATACAATTCATCGACAAAATCAGTAGTAGTCGACCCAATAGTATGCCATAAGTTTCATACCGTTTCTCAAACACATCACTAAACATAACGTCAAATAAATTAACAAAAAAAACTTCAAATATGTCCACAAAAACCCTAATCACACGCTATACACATATCTAACTGTATGTCCACACCTAACACCCCAAACACACAACCAATCACCGAATCCACAGCCAGACATCACCACCACCACCAACAACAGCCTACTGTCCACACCCGGCCGTACCTCGTAATCCATATTCCTGGGGTCCGTCTTGAAGGTGATCTCAGCCATACAACGCGGGCACTTGAAGTAGAAGCGGAACACCTTTAAGCCGAGGTATGTCTCCTCCTCGACGGTCTCCTTCCGTGCGTTGAACTTCTTGCCCTTCGCGATGTAATCGCCGCACGTATTGCACCGCATATTGCACGGCGCCATCAGTCGCACCGTATACTGACGGGTCTTCGGCAGCCGGAGGCGCGGGATCTTCGAGGGGTCGAAGTCCGGCGGATAGTATTTCTGCGATGAGATAGAGATCCGGGGTTAGTGCAGTCAGTTTAGGGGGTGTGAGGGTTGGGGTTAGGATTATAGTGTAGGGGTTTTTTTAGGTGCGAGTTAATCATGGTGTTTGTAGGGGTGGGGGTTAGGGTTGGCGTAGGTTTTAGTGGTGGGAGAGTGAGTGAGTGAGTGAGAGTAAGGTTAGGGTTAATGTCTGTGGTGGGGGTGAGTGGGAGGCGTCGATACGCTCTGTACTTACGTTCAAAACCTTGCGCTCAGACATGGCTTACACTACACACGTGTCTAACCGTAACTCTGGTGTCGATACAAATGCCGCGAAACTCGTGTCACAAACAGTGGCGAAAAACAATGATTTGTGTTTACGTTTGACACACGTATTCAGCGCCCGCTAGAGGGCTCACCACTCACTGCAAACACACAATGTTTTGCACTCGTTTGACATTTGCCACACACCGTCCACAAACAACGTCCACACCTCGTGTGGGCGCGCAGTCAGGGTGTGTACCTCACACAACGCACTACACAAACACAAACTTCAGGGGGACTCGAGGGGCGCACATATCGCCACAAAATGAGCGATCAGTTGTTCAGTGGACGTGATTCGTGAACAGCTATTATTGTCTGTGGCATCGATACGATCGACAATCGTTCGCAGCGTTTACTGTCATTGTATTGTCAGTCAGTATTTGAGTGTTGTTTTTGTTATCAGTCTTTCGATGTCTTTATACGACAAAAGCGCTAAACAGTGCCGCAAAGGAGGCCCCCCGTCGGGCGCCGCCACCCAAAACGGAAAGCCCTCCTCAGCCCTCGTGGCCAACAACCGCTCGTCCTCTGCGTCGACCGGCAAGTCGGGCGCCAAGGCGTCGGTGACGTCGGGCGCCATTCAGGCCCAGGCGGCCGCCGCAGCCGCGGCAGCCATTATGCAGCCCTACATCAACGCGCGCCTACAGGCGGCTCAGGTGCTCAACGTTGGCCCATACGTCAGGTACGGCCCGGCGTTCAACCCGTACGCGGCCGCCGCCGCCGCCAACGCCACCGCCGGCTATGTTCAGCACAATTCCGTGAGTACTGGGTGTTTATGACATCCCTTTCCTCCCTTTGAGGTGTGTTTTTAGGAGCTACCTGTGCCCCCTCCCCCACTCACGTGTGTTTGTGGGGGGAGGGGTGGCACTGTTGTTGTGTTACATTTTTGTTGACAATTAGCGAGCGATCGATAGTAAGTTTGTATTGTTTTGTACGCGAGTTTTCACGCGATATATCATACATGCCCTCCCATTCCCGTGGCATTTTTGGGGTGTTTTTTGCTACCCGTTCCCCCATTCACGCGTGTTTGTATGTGGGGAGGGCTGTTGACAGTGTTACAAACGTGGTGTTAATTTGACAATTAGCTAGCTATATGTGATTGTGTTGTTTTATAAGTAGGTTTCAGGTGACAGTCATGACCTCCCATTCCCTTTAGTTTTTTGTGTGTTTTTGATTTTGTCTTTTTGCTACCCGTGCCCCCACTCACGCGTGTTGACAGTGGCACCGATACTATGTTAGTCAGCAATTAGCTAGTAATCAGTAATAAGTTATTGGTTTTATAAGCAAGCAAGTTTCTGTTGATTTACATGTTTATGATATGTTTGATAACAAAGTGTCCAATGAGTGGACAATGTATACACACCTATGCCGAGGGGGTATAGGCGCCCGTAAAATTGTGACAAGATATGTGTGTATCATATTGGGAGGCGTGTCATACGTCAACTGTCCAGGTTTATTTTTGTTTTGTCTAAACATAGTGTGAGAGGTATGTGTCTGTACCTAACGTACGATTAGATGGACAGACAGTTTGCGCGCGACTCTGACCACTCGGTCATTGTATTTACCGGTGATGTCGTGACTACCGGAGCGCATATATATATACGGTGTCCGGGCGTTGATTCCTAAGCACCGATAGTAGTGATAGGTAGTGGTCGTGGACCCCACCTCCCCGATAGCCAACACCACGTACTGTGGGGTCCAATGTTTGGCATACTTTACTCGGGGTATCCGTTATTGACATGTCGTGTGATTTGATGGTTGACACCAGTATTCACCGCTCGATTGATCACTTTTAACATGAATTTGTTGATCACTTTTATTAGCTATTGTTTTTCAAGAGTACTTTGTATTATGTGTTTCACTAATTAGTGGTATTATAGTTGCGTACAACTAATGATACCTTTTTTTACACTTAAAAATAATTTTTTGTTTTTTATTTTTCATTAGAAAAGTTGTCACAGAAGTTTTAATTAGTTATAATTTATAAGAATATATTATATTTTTAAATCAAAGTGCTTATCATTGTATACATCTATTCATGACAGTGAGATAAGCCCGTAGTCTTATATTTGTAATTATTTCATAACAAGGTATTAAACCATTTTAATGATATACTTAACACTAGTGACTAATGTAGAGAAATGTACTTTAAAATGCGAGTAATTAATTTTAATAACGTAAATTGTTTGCGAGTTATTTCTAAATGTTTATTACAATCATATGTTGAGAATATACTGGTTTTGTAGTGAATACGACAATAAGATGGCATAATATGCTCGCAACTGTCAGAATCCTATTGCATAGATACACTAATATATGCATCTATTTGCCCGTAAATTCTTACATATATTTCCTAAAATATTAACATTTTTAAGGTATTATTTTTAGAAAACTGTTCTCACTCATTTTAATGATCAAGTTTTTTGATAGCAATTCTTAAAATAATTCTTGAGATGCTTAAAAACTAATTAAACTATTGTTTTTTGCGCATAAAGTACAGTATTTTTGGCAAATAGGTGTTGATTCACGAGATAAGAGCTTTTTTATATGTTTATGCGAAAATTAGTTTCACCAATATAAAATACTTAATAAATATCTGATCAATGAGTTTAATATTACCGCTAGAGATACGTGAATATGCGTTTGCGAAGGCTCTGGCAATTATGCCATACGTACAGTGAATTCCCGACACTTGTACGCACGGGGTTTGGTTGCCGTACGGCGTATGGCATACAGTGTATGGATACGAGTAAATATGTATAATACACGAGTTATGTGTGTATTAATGTAATAACGTTTTGGTTACCAATAGTTATATATACGATTGGATAATACGGGTGTATAGTTGAGTGTATACTACTGTGTGGTGCATACGGTATGTGTTGCCAGTTGACTACATGCGCTCATTTTGTTAGTGTATGTATCGGGTGCTGTGCTGTGTGTCTATGGCATTGGAGATTGTACTCTCGCACAGTTAGCCTCGCTATCCGTCAGTCAGTACCACCACCACCGCCACTACCACCAGACGTATCATACAGTATACTCTCTCTCCATCGGACTGAGAGAACAAAAAAGTTTTTTCTCTCTCGCTCTCTGTGTGACTACCAGTGCTCTGTCTGTGCGTTTTGGGTGAGAGTGAGTGGAGTTTTAGTTTTATGCCATTTTTCTCACTGTTTGTGTGCCGTTACGTCTGTCAANCCACTACCACCAGACGTATCATACAGTATACTCTCTCTCCATCGGACTGAGAGAACAAAAAAGTTTTTTCTCTCTCGCTCTCTGTGTGACTACCAGTGCTCTGTCTGTGCGTTTTGGGTGAGAGTGAGTGGAGTTTTAGTTTTATGCCATTTTTCTCACTGTTTGTGTGCCGTTACGTCTGTCAACCAGTTCTTGTGTCTGTCTCTCTCCTACTCTCTCTCTCTCTAACTTTTCAGGTCTCTCTCTCTCTCTCTCTCGCACTTTCTCTCTCTCTCTCTCTCTCTCACTCAGCTGTGAGACTGACTTTTTCTAACAAAATATTTTGACGACAAACATTTATATACTTTTTTCTCACTCTGTCTCTCTCTCTGTCTCTCACTCTATCTGTAGTTTCTGTTTTTGAGAGTTATGTTTGGCATAAGAATTTGTCTCACATACAGATTTCATGATACATACAGCTATAGCTATGACTGTTAGCTGACACTGGGATTTACTTGTTTATATTTGGTTCAGTGTTATATTTGATTGAATATTTAAATCACCCGAGTCCAAACTGTTTGGAACGCCGTGTATATAACTTATACAACAGTTACTGTTATATACACTTTTCCCCGGGGAATAATACAAAAGTGTGTGACTCATAATTGTTATTAATATATATATTGTTATTTATATATATATTTAATTGTAGTTATATTTTGCGTGCAATTTATTTGGTGGCCAATCACACACACACATACACAGCGATTTGTTTGTTAAATATACTTGTACATATTTGTTTACTGTGTGGTGTCCACACAAAAAATTGCGGCTATTTTTGCAGTGTTTTCTGTGTGTGTTATATATAATTGAGACACAAAAGTGATACAAGAAATTGAATTTCACAAAAAAATTTGATCGCATTTTTTGGTTGATTATCATTTGTTGAGACCAATTGTGTGGACAATACTTGTGGTGACAATAAGTGCTTTGAATGAAGAGCGACACCCTATCGTACAGTAAGATTGTACAGCACTCTATCGGTACGAGCGGAGCTACTGGTGCTCCCACCGCCGCCACCACCGTCATAGGTGCTGGTAATACCATGGATTACAATCATCACCACCCGGCCCACCATCACCACCAGTCTAATCATCACCCGGGAGGGGGAGGTGGTGGTGGAGGGCAGTCGACTCCGGCGGCTACTGCCGGCCCTCCGAGCCGTCAGCCGAGGGGACAGACGGTCGGCTCAAATCAAGGCCGCCGTTCGCAACATAACAACCAATCGATTAATGTGTATAATAATCGCCAAAATAAGGTAACCATTGGTTTTTGTTTAGGAATAGTAGGGATGGTGTGTGTGTGTGAGGGAAAGGTAGCATTTTGTGTGTGTGTCTGTGTATATGTTTGCCATAGACTCGCGAGTAATAATAATATGCTTTTAAAAGCGTATATTCGATACGATCTCTACATAAATATAAGTTTATTTTTTGTGGTATATTTTTCTGGTGAATACATTGAATACATGTTTTTATGTATATTTTTTTGTCGATCCATTACTTTGATTGTATGGCGTTTTGTCAGATATTTTTTGATTAGTTTGAGAGAGAGAAAGGGGGAGAGTATGAGAGAGAACTGTCATAAATGGCGGAACAAATTCTCCTATTGAGGAGAGAATAGAGAGAGAGAGAGAGAGAGTTGGGGATAAAGGGATACCTAACCAGTGGGTGTTAACTATGTAATACACTGTATGTATAATAATAGTCGTGTGTATATATATGTGTTACTGGTATATACATAATATATACGGAATATCTGTCGTTCCCCTACCTGTTCCGCCCCCTACTATATGTTTTGTTATTAGATAGTTTTGACGCTATTTTTTAATACACAATATTTTG